TGTTTTTAGGACTTCGTACTGGATCCCAAGGGGGCTCATCCTTGGAGACTAATTCTTTGCTCTTCTTTATTTATAAAAATATGTATTGGATACAACATTTTAGGAAAGAAGGAAATAAACTAAGACCTCAGCAAGAGGCTGGCAAGATGGTTCAGTAGACAAAGACCTGATGACCTGAGTTTGACTCCCCGAACCTACAGTGGAAGGAGAGAATTGACCGCTGGAATTTGTCCTCTGAGTTCAACATGTGTGCTCATACAACACAGCAATAAATACAACAAATTTAAACAGTAGGTCTGAACAAGTAGAAAAACATAGCCTGCCACTCATCATCATAAAGATATCAATTATCCTTAAGCAAAATTATAATCCTAACACTATACACAATATTTATTGCCTGAAACTGGATAAGGTTATAGTGTACAAAAAATAAGTAAACAGGAATAAAACAAGAGAATTGTGTAAAAGAAAATAAGGGAGCATGCCATAATCTCACCAGATATTAATCTCACTCAGATACTCTAGAGCCCCAAAAACTAAACCAGGAGATTTGTGAATGGATGGAAGACAATAAAAACTTCAAATAGACCAAAGTACAGATTTTTGTGTTTGCTAAATACAGCTTCCCAAATCAATAGAAGTAGAAATGAACTTTCTGATTAATAATGTCTGAAAAACTTGGTAGTCATTTGGAAAAAGTTAAATTCACACATCACACCATACATCAGGACAAAACCCAAATAGATCAAAGATTTGAATTAAAAGAAAACAATTTAATTGCTGAATTGGATGGTTTTGTGTGTCAACTTGGCATAAGCTAGAATCATCAGAGAAGAAGGAACCTCAGTTGAGGAAATGCCTCCATCAGAACCAGCTGTAAGGCATTTTCTCAATTAGTGATCAATGGGGGAGGGCCCAGGCCATGGAGGGTGGTGAAATCCCTGGGCTGCTGGTCCTGGGTTCTATAAGAAAGCAGGCTGATCAAGCCAGGAGAAGCAAGCCAGTAAAGCAGGATTATCTCCATGGCTTCTGCATCAGCTCCTGCCTCCAGGATCCTGCCCTGTTTGATTTCCTATCCTTGACGTCCTTCAATGATGAACAGCAATGTTGAAGTGTAAGCCAAAGAAGTCCTTTCCTCCCAAACTTACTTTTTGGTCATGGTGTTTTGTCACAGTAATAGAAACCCTAAGACAAATTGGTACCAGGAGTAGGGTATTTGTGTGACAGACCTGATCATGTTTGGGGGAGGTTTGTGGAAGGACTTCAGAACTTTGGGCTAGAAGAACCATTGAGTGTTAAGAACTCAGTTGGATGTTCTTTAGGAACTTGGAAGATAAGAATGTTGAGAACAGTGCAGAATATGGAGGCTTGTAACTCTTCTGGGAAATACTTCATGAAAGCACAGAGAAGCTGTGTTCCAGAGGTGGCCAAGATTGTACCTTGTGCTGGCAGCTGGATTTGGTAGAGTGTAGGAATCACCCAGGTGGTGCTGGTTTTGAAGGCATGAAGGGGTCAAGGAGAGCAGCTGAGGCTTGGCACTGTGAAAGGTCATTGGTGAAGGTGCAGCCTCAGTGGCAGTTGAAGGCTCAGGACTGAAGGGGTCATGCAAAGAAGTTGAGGCTTGGCACCATGAAGAGAGCCTATGAGAGGCTATTGGTGAAGTGCAGCCCAGCTGCCGCAGAAGACCCCAGCATTTTGGAGATGCCAGTACCATGGGATGACCACCAAGATCAGCAAGAGTAATGGAGTGGAGCCAGCTGGAGCACACAGCTCGACTTCAAGGCTCTAGCTGGCTCCACTTCATTGCTGTTGCTGATCTTGGCTGTGTGCGCTGCAGAGGGTAGAGCCGGAGAAGTGACGTTGGAGGAGTTCAGAAGATCGTTTGTGGATCCCAGCCTTTGGACAGTTGGAATTTGGTTCTGCTTTGATTTGATTGTGACTGTGCTCTGATTTTTCCCTCTTGAAGTAAGTAAGTATTTTACTGGGGCCCGCAGTTGAGAGACTAAATTTTTAAAGATTTTGGATTTTAAAAGAGATTGGCTATTTTAAAGGGACTGAATTTTTAATATGTTTGAATTTGTGAAGACTGTGGGACTTCTGAAGTTTATGTTTGTAATGTGAGATCTTAAGGATGACTAAGAAAGGAAGGGTTGTGGCTTAACAGTGATGTGTTTGTGTGACAAGTTGACAAGGGGTCAGTTGTACTGGCTGGCTTTGTGTGCCAACTTGACACAAGCTAGAGTCATCAGAGAGGAAGGAGCCTCAGCTGAGGAAATGCCTCCATGAGATCCAGCTGTGAGGCATTTTCTCACTTAGTGATCAATGGGGGAGGGCCCAGGCCATGGTGGGTGGTGCCATCCTGGAGCTGCTGGTCCTGGGTTCTATAAGAAAGCAGACTGAGCAAGCCAGGGGAACAAGCCAGTAAGCAGCATCCCCCCATGGCCTCTGCATCAGCTCCTGCCTCCAGGTCCCTGCCCTGTTTGAGTTCGTGTCCTGACTTCCTTCAGTGATAAACAGCAATATTGAAGTGTAAGCCAAATAAACCCTTTCCTCCCCAACTTGCCTTTTGGTCATGGTGTTTCATCACAGCAGTAGAAACCCTAACTAAGACAATTTCCAAAATCAAACTTTGAGGTGAGGAAAGTGATTTAAACTATTGCACACAGTCCAGAGCGGCCAGTAAAATGGCTCTGTGCATAAAAGTGATTGTCACCAAACCTGATGACCCAAGTTTGATCTCCAGAATCCGAATGGTGGAAAGAGAGAACTGACTCCCATTGCTGGTCCTCTGACCTCCACACCCTCACTGTAGTTCTCTCTATCTCTTACACACATATGCATACACACACACAAACACACACACACACACACACACACACACACACACACACACACTAAATAAAACATAATTATAAAATCCAGAGACTATTTTTAAAATAATTGAGAAATTTAATAATACAAAAACAAGAAGTTTCTCACAAGACACACAATATAAACAAAATTAACAGAGGACAAATGGATGAAAATGTTTGTAATTGATGCCAATGACATATGAAATGTTTGTGACTTCATTGACTTTTGTATTTATTGGTTTGTTTGCTGGTTTTCTCATTTACTTATTTTGCTGTGCTGGGGATCAAACCCAGAAGTCCACATATGTTAGACAGGCACTCTATAACTGGCCACACATTCGTTAACTTACAAAACAAATATTTCTAGAAATGGAGGAAAAAAAGAGAATAAAGTTAAGATATTTTAAAGGGCAGATTGGTCACACCCCTAGAAGGAATTGACATGATTTTTTTAAATATTTTTATTTTATAATTAACTTAATTTCACATATCAGCCACAGATTCCCCTGTCCTCCCTCCTCCCACCCCCAGCCATGCCCCCCAATCCACCCCCCATTTCCACCTCCTCCAAGTCAAGGTCTCCCCTGGGGAGTCAGTCCAGCCCAGTAGACTCAGCTGAGGCAGGTCCAGTGCCAAACACCCTGACTGTCATGATAGAACTCTCATCCAGTGTGTGATTTTTTTTTTTTGAGACAGGATATCTCTGTGTAGCCCTGTCTGTCCTCAAACTCACAGAGATCCACCTGCCTCTGCTTCCTGAGTGCTGGGATTAAAGGCGTGCGCCACCATTGCCAGGCTGAATTGACATGCTCTTTAGAGATTTTAATTCGAATTAACTGAAGTTCAGGGTTGTGCTGAGATTGCTTTTCTTGTCACCTCCCACTTTGACCATCACACATTTTTGTCCAGACTGTGGACAAACCATTGCACCCCTCCATTGCTGTGAGGACTATGAATCATACAAGCACTGCTCTATTTGTTGTGCTTCCAGAACGAAGGACTAGAAATGAGGTGATGGATATAACAGAAATTCATTTTCTCCTGAATCAGAGGTAGAAATGTGAGCTCAAGGTGTATCCAGGACATGTGAGACGACTTCCCAAGGATTCTAGGTGCCTGTCTCCTCCTCCCCATATCTTGAATTCTTGGTGTATTATCTATCTATTCTCTTCTCTGGGCCTGGGTCAGAATTCACCTCAATAACCTCAATTGAATTTAATGACCTCTCACAATCTCTTTTGGACCAATCCTATCCCCAGAGTTTCAGAATTATTCACATTTTGGGTGACAATTCAGACAACAACCACCCTTATGAAAGGAAACCTAGAAATGATGAGCAAAATTAGCATGACATTACTTTTGATAAGCAACCCCACTTCTGGAGATCTGTTAGAGAGACAGATCTACAATCATGGGAAATGACATGTATGGCAATGTTTATTTCAGCCCTGTTGAGGCAGAAAGAAGGATTTCAGAGCAGTCAAGTACACAGTGGTTTGTCTACACAATACAGAATGTCACTGTGTGAAGAAAGGAGGAAGCTCTGTAGGCACTGCGGATGGAGATCTATGGACTATGAGGTAAGAAAGACAAGGAGCGAACAGCATAATAATAGCCTGGTGTCTACATAGGAGAAATACATTTGGATTGGCTTGCATGGTATTTGTATAAGCACTGAATATAAAACAACTGCAAAAGAAAAGAAACGGATTGGTTTGATTATTGAGAGGGGTATGTGGCATAGAATGAAGCAGGCAGGATAGAAATGAAGCTTTCTATATTTTCTTGGCTGTATGGTTTTCATCTCTAAGTTATGGATGTTCAAAACAATTGAAAGCATATATGGATAAAGGATATCTAAGGATACGGATATCAGTTTTCATTTGTAAATCAGGTGAATTCAAAAATAATCAAGAGAAGATGTATTTTTAAAATGTAAAGCATAGCTCGTGCGGCTTCTTAGCTCAGCCGTGGACCCTCTAGTATAAAATGAGACTAACTCTAATCTCTCTGCTTCTGAGAACCGGTATTCTCAGGTTCTCCAAGCCGCATCAAGTGTTTCCAAATCGCTCTCTTTTGAAGAAAGCAGAACCACAACTGTTTCCTTGCTGTTTTCTTTTTCTCTGCAGAAAGGCAGTGAGTTTAAGGTCCAGTTGGATTTCCTGTGGACCAAAGAGGAGACTGCCTGGATGCAATTGATCCCCAGCACTCAGCAGTGCAAACGCCCTTGGGTGTGCTTTACTTCAAGCTAATAGAAGTGGCCCAGCTGAAAGTAGGGATGTCTGGCTGGGGGTGGGGGCACCCGAGTGCTCAGCATCCAGCTGAGAGTGAGATTCCTGAGGAAAGCCCCTTCCTGTCACAGCACCCACAGCATTCTGAATCTGCTTGCAGCCCAGCGGCCTCGCCGAGGATGCTCCATTTAAAAGTGCAGTTTTTGGATGATTCCCAGAAGATTTTTGTGGTTGATGTAAGTGGAAATCACGTCGCTATTATTCCTTTATTATTCATTCAATAATGGTCATTTGTGGACAGCCCATTAGCCAGGGATGTTATGTCTTCTTTAGAACCGAATGAAGGAGGACTGTGGTTTTTAGATTTGGAAAAGAAGTCTGTATTTAATGTCATGATGTGGCTCATGTTTTCCCATTAACCTTTCTTCTAGAACATGCTCTCTTTTCTCAAGGGACATTGAAAACAGATTTGAAAAATACTCCAAATATTTGTGAAAAGGCAGCAACGACTTAGTTCTACTACCCAATAAGGCATTATTGTTCATTGAAATTATTTATCTGTGAGTCTGAGTAGGTTCTGAGGGAAATGAGAGGGGAAAGCTGCCTTCCTTTTCTGAGGAAAACCTATGGGTTATGGGGAGTAGAGTTACAGTTCTAATGAGAACTTCAGGCATCAATGACATGAATGAAGGAGAAAAATAGTATAAGAGACGATTTAGTTTGATTTAGTACTTATAGTTCAGAGTTCTTAACATAATTCCTAGCTACAGGATGATTGCATACAATTATACCTCATCTCTTCAAGAAAGAACAAATGTATTAAGCACATCATCTAGTGCTCAAGCTCCAACACCCTAAGATATGTGCAATTTGATGTCAGGATTTATGTATGAGCATTGTGAAATGTTCTACTTTTCTTTTTATTGGAAGCCAAAGCGCTGTTTCCTGTGATATTTACATAAGCTACTAACAAGGAACAAACAGTTCATTTTCCATGAAATTCATACAAAAATGTTGTGTGTATTTTTTTCCTTTTACACATAAACTGACAACCACTCTAAGCTCAGCCGTGATGTGTGGTGTGAGGGTAGCCCACTTTTTCCAATGGGAATTTGATTTTGATTTGAATCATGTGTTTTGTTGGTGATGACTTTCTGGCTCCGGCTGCTATTTTGCTGTCTCTTCCTTTCAGTTTTATGTGCAAAAGGCATTTCGAGTTCCACGGACCTGAATGATTTGTTTTGTAGCAAATGGATTCCATTAGAGTTATGGGGCATTTCCTATTCTTTCTTGGAAGTATATTTGAGGGATGGAAAGTGTCTTTTGAGTAATTTGTCCATTTGCTAGCTGGTGGTGGACTGGTACAGTGCTCCAGAATCCAAATTACTGAGCTGTATTCAAAAGATACTGCTTTAGGCTAAATTTTTAATAGATACTTCAGGCATCTCAAAGAGAAATCTTTGACAAAAAGTGACAGTAGAGTTTTATGAATGTGCAGTTCTAATTCAGATCCAATTATATGGGGAGTGGGGAGCAGGGCACTGTAGCTGCACAGAATCCACCTCCCTAGGAGCCAATTCCAGCAGCTTGAAGCCAGCCCGATTTGGCTTCAAGTCAGATTGTCTCTTTCCAGCTGCAACACATTGTGATCCTTGGAAAGATAATGGGAGAGATTTGATACCTAGCAATTCGGGTGTCAAAGCATCCGATCCCTTTTACTCTGTGGAAGGCTGCATCATGCGTAGCAATCATGGTGCCTTCCTGAGTGGTAACAGCAGCACAGGCTGCAGTGCTATAAGCAGCTTTGTTGTGAGGGAATGGAACTTGACTTAGCATCTGGCCATCTGACATGACGTGTCTCCTTACCAACAGTACACAGAGTATTGATGGTGGTGGTGGTGGCGGGGGGCGGCGGTGGTGGCGGTGGCGGTGGCGGTGGCGGTGGTGGTGGTGGCGGTGGCAGCGGTGGCGGTGGCAGCGGCGGTGGTGGCGGTGGAGATGATGATGATAATGATAACAGGGTCGGGGGTGCAGAACCGCTAGATAGCTTAAACACTTTCACAACGTAGTGTGTAAGTACAGAGTGAGGGTTTTGAATCCAGATCCTCCCACTCTTCCTTTTGCAGTTGGATTTAGAAAACTCATCTGCCAGTAGCTATCTAGGCCTGAAACATTGCTCACGAACATTATTTTGTTTGTCCCCAAAGGATATATAATTTTGCATGCAGTGGACATTTGTGGTTTTTGTAAACCATTAACAAGTGCTTCTTTCCTTACCCATGGAAGAAGTATGCAACAAGGCAGTCACTAGAAGTCAGGGACACCATAATGGAAATTTGTTCACTGATTTGGATGCATAAGAGCAACCGAAAAGGTACAGTCCTATGACCTCCAAAGTGCTGTGATTATAGGTCAGCATCAGCTACATGTTGAGTTTGAGGCTGGCCTCAGATGCATGAGATCCTGGCCCAAAACAACAAACAGAAAAGCAACTTGAAAAAAGTTCTCTTATATTAGCACTCATATTTTAACAGGTTAAAGCAATGCATGGGATTATAATTAAGAGAGCTTATTCGTAGCTGAAGAAAGCCATGTGACAGGGATTCTGATAGCAAACTGAAATCTGAGGAAGTTTGAATCTTTCCCAGGGAAGACTGTCCTTTAAAGATAAGATTAAAGAAAATAATTTATTATACAAGCTAAAATAGTGGCTAGTTAGGCATCTGTGTCAATTGTATAGCACGTACACCAGGATAAATATAAAAAGGACATATTATCAGGTAGAATAACATCATCCAAGAAAGGTTAATAAAAATTCAGAACCATTTATCCAAACTCCAGTGGTATTATCTTTATGATAGTCTCAACATTCTGGATCTGTCTCAGGCCTCTAGATTGAGAAGCCTGATTTGTTAACATTCCACAAGAACTGAAATAAATAAATCCTCAATGCCAAGCTCATCACTTACAGTGAGATTATGTACACTGGGGTCTTCTAATTAAACACTGAGAAGGCAAAATGATGTTGGAAAGTCAGGTCTGAGGAAATAAATATGCAGCTCTAATATTTAATAGCTTGGTAAGGCATCTATAGCTACCAAAGCCCTATTATCGACATATTAATTATTCATTCATTAATCTGACTATTTAGTTAAAAATTATTATTGATGATCTCGTAAATCCAGATCCTGTTCTGGGCACAACTGACTCTACCACAGGGGTAAGTAAAGTTCTTTTAAGCAAGGGCATACTTTAGACTCAGCCATGCTAGCTGGGCACTAACTTGACCTGGGTGAGACTCCTTTTCCTCCTGTTGAATTGTTGATGTGATTAATGTGCGTTTGTCCTATTCTGTCTTTAACTTGTTAATCCCTTTAGTTAAATTATTAGGAAGAACATCTGGCTCCAGGGACATCCTGTTTGTTTGAAGTTTCTTTGCTCTAAGGCAATGTGTGTTGATTTTACAGATGAAGCATCTGAAAATATTACTTGGCCTTTTCCACTGTGATTTTTCAAGCGTGTTTAGGGAAGTGTGGGCAAGGCAGAGAACTTCAGCACTGTTAGAATGTATCTGCTAAAGTATGATCCTAGGAGGAACATGGAGTGAGAATCTCATTTTGTTTTTCAAGTCCCCATACATATTCCATAAAATTGATCATTGTCAAATTCTGGCATCAACCCTAGGATCATCCTTAGAAGATCAAGGGTGGCATTTTGGATGATGAGAGTGAGGGGGTGAGAGGAGATTTACAGTAATATCATATGGTTCAAAAAGTGATTACAAGTTTTAGTGTAAATTCAATTTTGCTTCTTCAACAAAAGGACTGGAAAAAAAAGAAAAAAATGGTATGACTCAAGCTAAACTTTCCTGGACTGTTAGAGGTTTGATTTTGACATTGACTATGAATCCCCAATACACTTCGCATATACACACCAGTAGGACTGATGAGTGTCTCTATAGCGCAACTTCCTTATAACTACAATTGTTTGCTCCACTTAGGTTTAGATGGGGTGTTTTATAAAATAGTTATCCCATCACACAATCGGTCTGACGTCTACACACTCCTCTCCTCCATTGCATTCCTGTCTTCATTGAAGCTATTGTTTCTAGATCTTCAAAACCACATTTCACTTGATAGTTTCTAGACACTAAAATCCAAACAAGAGGTTGAAATATCTCTGCTTTTATGTTTATCTGATTTCTAGGTGATCTTGCTGACCATCCAGTGATTACACAGTAAGAGAAAATTGTTAATCAGCTCATCTGATACCCTGGAAAGCCCACAGCAAAGGTCACTAGGTCTCCTTTGCTAACAAAGACAAAGGGTAGGCAGTATCTGGACTGAGCATTATCTAAGGCAAATGGAAAATCAAAGAACTGCCCAGTGATTTTTTTTCTATTCAGTAGTGGAATTTACTTTATAGCTACTGGTCGAGGAATTTCTTTTTCAATTTGTAGTGGTGAGGGAACTTTTGTAATTTGGTCAATAGTGAATTGGATAACCTCTTTTCCCACATTACAAGGCTATGTTTTTCCAACTCTGGGGACAAGGATTGCTCTGGTATAATAAAATGCACCTGGATTTTAGGCTACAAAACTTGTAGTCTTAGGCCAGTCACATATCCTCTTTGATCTTGAGTTGTTGTGAGGACTAACGTAAATGTGATAATGTTTATCTTAAGTCTGATAAACCAGGATAAATTGGAATCTGCACTTACAAGTTGTGGGGCCTTGAGGAGCTTATCTGAATCTCAGCTGAATCACAACTGTGAATCACAACAGACTTAAAAAAATCAGGAAATTTCCCCCGAAGAATAAGCTATTTAGGTTGTTGAGTAGGAGGACACTAAGAGAGTAATAAGTGTGAGCTTAGAAGGAAGGGGTAATGGTGATATCTGCAAAAGAAAATATGAAGATGGACATGCAAAAGAGAACAGAACACGCTCTTTTCACAGAAGGAAAGGGTCAGTGTAGCTAGAGTTTTCCTGCCTGGCCCACAGTCAGGGCAAATCTCTCTCACCTGCTAGTCCCACAGCTGCTCAGACCCGACCAAGTAAACACAGAGACTTATATTGGTTACAAACTGTATGGCCATGGCAGGCTTCTTGCTAACTGTTCTTACAGCTTAAATTAATCCATTTCCATTAATCTATACCTTGCCACATGGCTCGTGGCTTACCAGCATCTTCACATGCTGTTTCTCATCATGGCGGCTGGCAGTGTCTCTCTGACTCA